ATCCATGTTCTGTTCTTTTGTTTATACTAATCACCGTTAATTAACTCACAATCATAAAAAGACTAGGAAACACGATTGTTTGTGCCATCGATTTTCCGCAGAAACTGATTCCACTTCTACTGAGCCATTGCGACATTCCTTTCGAGTTCCGCGCAGGGTCAATCCTACGTTGTTACTAGTAACAACGGGGGAGGGGTCGTATCCGCTTCAGTCGCGTGAAGTACATGTGAGTTTGTCCCCCCTAGAAAATGAAGCAGTGGGATTATAGGTAGAAGTGGGGTAAATTGGTTGAAATTTAGGGAATTTGGTAATTTTTACTGTTTCAGAGTGGGTATATACCCCCCGCTCGACGGCATTTTTGGAGGAAAAAGTGGGCGGAGTTTGGTGGGTTGAGTGGTACCAGAATTAAATACTATAGAGAGGAATATGGTGGTCGAGGTGTCGAAAAGGGGGTCGTACCAAATCCACCTTGGGGGAGGGGGGTCGTAAAAATTTTTGAAAAAGTAACAACGATAGGACTGACCCTGCCCCCCCCCCCACCCTCCCCTTCCTCATTCTTCATGTGGGATTGCTCTTCGAATTCGCTCTCGTCCATCCCTTTATTAAGTCGGATTCCACGATAATTAACCGTCGCCATCCAGAGTTGCTGCAGAGCATGACAGTGGCCCATGAACCACGGATTACTGAACGACAACGCAGGCGTGGGGGCACCAATCTTACCCCTTCCAAACACGAAATAGACAGTAGATTGAGTTACGGCTCAATAAAAGCACATGTCAAAACAAATAAAACTCGAATGAGAGCTTTCATCCTCATATTTGCTATATAATACATTCATGTTAAGGAAACCCTGAATTAATCAAACAATCAACATGATTCATCAAGTGGCTGTTATTTGTCAGTTCAAAATGCTATGTGAAAAATGGTAATTCTCTTCATACAGTTTACCTCGATGAACTCTGGGGCAAATTCCTACTTCATGACGACATTGTATTCTTGCTGTAAAGCTTAAGCGAAGATATTTCCTGCAAAGAATGCACTATTCCTACTCACTAATCACGCGAGGAAACGATAGCAGTATCGGCATCTGACCGTGAGAAACTTCTCGTGGCACGTAAAAATCGTAAACAAGATCAAGTGATATTTTCATTCCTGAGCTTCCATTCAGAAAAATCTACACAGTTCGTTGGTTTCATGTCACAAAATTTACTCTGATCGACAACGACTTTGACAAAACTTCGTCTGCAACTAAAAGGTCCTCGCCAGCAGAGATGAGCTCTGAAATGAGAAAAAAATTAATCGCTCGACTCGAAGTAAGCAGCGTAACAGAGAAAATGTCTCTGTATACTCTGTGATCCCACACACATGCACCCCTCCCCACCACACGCACCTCCCGAGCTGGAAATGCCGTGGGGTTGCATAGCCTCTGCTTGAGGCCGACGTCATACTTTGCGATTCGATTAGCGAATCGAGCGAATCGCTAATCAAATCGCAAAGTATGACGTCGGCCTGACCTGGCTTCTACTCAACTAGTCTACATTGCTTCCCATTATGGGTCGTAATAGCAAACAACGTGCGATCTCTTTACTGCAGAAGCAGACAATCTCTTGTAATAAATAGTTTCATTACGATCATACCTCTGAGTGGTCGCAGTAAATTAGAAACGCTTTTATCCTTCAAATCAGGCAGTAGTTCATTGATCATGTACAGCTTTTCATTCACAGTCTCAATCGAGGGATTTTTCAGGTGACTGAAAGAAATGATATCCTCATTGAAAAAGCGAAGGACAAAGGTGGAAGAGAAACATTCGGCGCTTATTGTTCCTTTCTGGGATGCGCCACGCATTCGCATTCCGCTTCCAAAAGAGTGGCATTTTGAATAGGATTTACTTACACAACGACTAATGGAGACAAGCCGACGTACAAGTCAGTGTTTTTATCCTCCCAGACAAGTCTGGTACCAATTAACCGACCCCGGAGGGATGGAAGGCTTGGTTGGCCCGGGCGACTCACGACCCAGGATTTGATCCCAGAACCGCTGCGCGTATAAGTGGCGCCACTTGTCACTACACCACTTCCCCCTCTCAAAACAGTGAAAAAGGGAACATTTCCATCATCCGGGCTATATCTTCAAAACAAATCCGATAAGGAAAGTAATAGGAAGGAATTACTAAAAGAAACAGACGTACAATTTCTCTACAAGCTTGTCCATGAAAATTTGCAGCGTGTCATCATCATTACATTGCACTTGTACGTAGCCGCCACTACACGTTGGACACTCCGGCTGAAGAGAACCATGACAGAAAGACAATAAACATCAGATAATGGAAATTCACATAACTCGAATGAACTCACATCCTTTTCCATTTTAACAACCCCACAATATACTCCTTCAATATCCGTGAAATTCAGATAATTATCTATAGGTTTGGCAGTGCTGAACGTACAATATGGGCATACATTCGAAATTGGGCGAAAAGAGTGCTCACTTACTTAGTAGCGAGTTTGATAGCTTCCAGTGCACATGATGCAGCTATAACAGCATTTGTAGAAGCTACTGCCGGGATGATCCGCTTCAGAACACCTTGCGTTAGACGGCGGTCCACTCCTTTGATATCTACGCAAACATAAAGATTGTATAAAAATGATGGGATAAAAGTGGAGAAAAAAAAAAACAAACGAGAAAGAACCATCTTTGCGGCTTACAACGATGCCTCGGGCATTCTAAGTCCTCATAATTCGGGCCGGGGAAGTCTTAAAGAGCCGGAAAAAGGTGGATAGAGGTGGGTGGAGGAGTGGAGGCCAGCTGTCATCGGTGGGCGGGGCTTGACCAAAGTGGGCGGAGTTTGCGACGAAAATTCATAACTCGGCTCCAAGAAGTCCCGGAGGCCGGGAAAAAGGGAGTAGAGGTCGGCGAAGGAAAGGAGGTCAACTGCTATTAGTGGGCGGAGCACGCACTAAGTGGGCGGAGTTTGCCAAAAGTGTCGCAATTCGGTTCAAGAGGTCCCAGAACGGGCGACCAAAAGGGTAGAGGTCGCGAAAGGAAGACGACCAAATGTCGATTGTGGGGCTGCACCGAAGTAGGCGGAGTTTGCCACGAGATTTATTGTCCGGAAGCAGTCCGGAGACCGGGAAAAGGGAGAATGGTTGACGAAGAAAAAGAGGTTGAAAGCCGTCGATGATGGAGCGGATAGAATTTAGCTGAGAAGTTCAGATATTCGTGGTGTATCAGGCCAAATTTGAAAATTTTCGCCGCACCATCAAAATTCGCCGCAGATCTGTGTTGTGCGCGCAATGCGTGCGGCGCCAACTGGTGAAAAGATAAGGCTCCTTGAAAATGAGGCTAAGACCAGAAGAAAAGGCGATAACGGTGTGATGAGGAGTACGCTGCCACTGCAACCCCTTCCACGTCGCTCCTCGTAGGATTCTGCTTCAGAAATGGGTTCGGCCCTTATCACGCGAGTGATCAAGTGCCTCTTCCCCTGAGTTCCCTATCAACTCGTGGTAGGTTCTCCGAATCGATCTTCAATCTGCTTCCCCGCACTCATTCGCTCCCCATGGGATTCCTCGCCAACACTTCCTTTCGAGCCTAGCTTAGTACGCTACCAGCGAATCAGGGTGATCTTATCAGAGTGACCTGACCAGAACGAAAAACTGATCACACCTCTCATTACGATGGGATAATGTGTTGAATAATAGTGAAAGGTAGTTTTAAATTTAAACCAAAAATATAGATCGCGTCAAATTGTGCAATTTATAAAGGGAGATTGTTCAGTGTGTAAGTGTTTTTTTAAAGCAATGATGCAAGACAAATGTTAGGTATAAATGCTGTGCTCTCTACACAAAAACAAAACATGGAACTCACTATAGGTCTGAGCTCGTGCACTTGCTCTGTCCAAAACCATGCGTATGAGCAGGATCATCAGCATCCAAAGCAGCCCCTTGAAATATTTAAAATGAAATTGTTTCAGTGCTGGTGTTACGCTGTCAATTTCATAAAGCGACCAAAAGGAGATTATTGCAGCAAAAAGAAGATATGATTATAGCAGGTGTAATGCGCTTTTTTTTGAAAGTTCGGACCAGTCCACTTTTCGAAAACGGACCCCTCAGAGTCAACCCCTCCAATAAGACCTTCCTACAAGTCGAAAAGATCTCCTCTGAGGTTAGCGGCTGCTTGGCCGTTACTATGCTCTGGCTCAATATCCACCCCGTTCTACCGATTGCCACAGCAGGTTCCCCGAAGGTACTTCTACGTCATCGCAAAGGCAGTATATAGAGAGGATAGAAGTTGGACTCTTACAGCATTTAGATTCAATATATCACCCTCCACCATAAGAAATCACGAGCAAGCATATAGATGAGCTCAATGTCTAACGTACACAAATCAACGATGTACCAACAACAAATAGGACCGGAATCATTAACTTCCAAACGCACCATCGAAAGGTCCCTCTTCGGCCCACTGAATAACTTTTACGTATTCTATGCAGTGTTCTGGTAGCCTTGGTGTATGAGCTATTGTACACAGCGGATAATTCACCTAAACTGCTTTTAATAATTTCCAGCAACAATCTCCATGTCTTCCATCAATTTAGGCTTTTTTTACGCAATCAACGCTTTCATGACGATCAGTTTTACGATGTTTGGATATTTATTACGCTTGATATTGTATCGGATCATAGGTGCCCATATTACAGAATGAGAAACAGGGTCGTAGAACGGGTGAGTATGGTCAAGATTGGACCACCACTGTCGAACTCCGGCCAGTCAACGCCAGCCTCCTTTGTTCCCTTCACAGCGGACATGGACCAGCAGTTGAGGTAAGCTTGTCTTCCAGAAGGCTGCAGGACATCCAAAACTATTTGGTTAAGCTACCTCTCCTGATTACTACATAACTAACAAATGGCACCATGTTTACACATTAGCGACTAGCTGGACAACGTGACAAAGAGTGCGCTAAATTGTCGCTCGAAACAATGTGGTTCGAGACAAGGATGGTATTAGCATAATCCTGTTGCGCAGATATCCCATTTCTAGAGTAAATATTTATAATGGGAGGCTCTGCACCGTTTAACACCTTGGAGCCCACGCAGCCCATATGTGGGCTGCAGTCCTCCGACCGCATAGGACCTTTCAGCTCGCATTTCGTGAAACAATTATTAGC